TGCAAATACATGTAGAGTAGTAGTAGTAGTAGTAGTAGTAGTAGTAGTAGTAGTAGTAGTAGTAGTAGTAGTAGTATGTGGCACAGTTAAAGATCACTGGAACTCCAACGCTTCAAAACTCACGTGACAAATCTTTTTAGACAGACAAGGACTAAATACCATCCTGCAGTAACTATAAAGGTTTATAACTCCACATTCACTGTAGTTTTGACATAACTTGGAGCTAATSGTGAATTTAACAACTGTGCATCCAAAATGTCATTTATGTCATAATGTAAGAAAGAGGTTCTACAAGATCTTAATGCAATTTAAAAAGCAAATTTTGACCTTGTTTTATAAAATTGTTTTGCTGATTGGATTTCAAACTAGTTAATTTTTTTAGTTTGTGCAAAGTAACGTGCAGAAAAAAAGTGAACCAGCAGCACCACACCCCTGCTGCCAAGCATTATAGACTAAAATGAAATGTTTTACACTACTAAGATGTTTCCTGCAACATAACTGAAAATTCATTACCAATTGTCTGCCATACATTCTGAGATTGAAAACACACTGTTTGGTTGAAGCAACAGGACATGTTTTATGGTTGCTGTGTCATTTTTAACATGTGTGCATCAGTGTGAGACGTTTGGATCAGAGAACTAGGGTGTTTCAATATTACGTGTTTCCTCTGCAGGGTATCTGTTTGCAGCTGTAGGTCTGAAGCTCTGGGTGACAGAGGGCAGGGTGGGGGCTGGAAGGATCCTCCAGACCTCTTCCCCCTCCTTTATGGGGATGCTCCAACCTGTCCATCTTCCCACCTGCTCTCTGACCCTCCGAGCCTGGAAGCTTCACCTCCTCAGGAACTGGAAGATCCACAAATGAGTTCTAGGAGAGATTCACCTCGCTCGCTTCAGAACTTCWACTTCTCCACGTGAGCCGAAGTGTTTCCGTGAAGGACTGAGGAGTCGGCAAACGTTTGGGAAAGACTCTTTTGGAAGCGCTGAAGGAGTCTGATCCTGTTTTGTGTTAGCAAGTGAAGGACGTGGGTCTGAGTTCTGTGAAGCCGTTCGGAGTWCGGCACCTTTTCTTAGTCGAACAGGAGAGTCTCACCTGGCGACTGCAGTGATGGTCACGAGGGCATAAAGCTCCATTTCCTCTTGGTTTGTTGTTAATGTTGTGCCGGGGCAGCTGTTTTTATTGAAGTCATCAGGGACATTTATTAGCACTACAGTATCTCGTTTCTGATGACCAGGACACAAAAAACGTCCCTAAGTCACATTCGATGAATGAAGTAGTTTGAACTTGCTTTAATTTCCCAGTTATAGTGTGGAAATAAAAGAAAAGTAAAGCAGCTAAAGTTTTTGGGGTGTTTTGGAGTAAACAAATGTGCTTTTTTTCTGTTTAACAAAAAGAAAGCAGAGAGAGAGCGATCAGCTTGAGCAAACTAATCGAGAGCGTGTTTGTTGAGAGGATGAAACTAATCTCTTCCTCGGGTGATTGAAGACATTGTGAAGGAGGCGGACAAGCGGGCTTGTTTGGTTCTTTTCTTACTGGTTCAGTTTCACGGCACTGTGAGGACACGGAGAGCAGCAGCGCAGCAGCAACATTAAGAACTTTCCACTTTAGTCATTCTCTAATGGAAGCTCTGAGGCTTCTGGTGACTCCTTGAGCACTACGATCTGTAAAACGGGACAAGATTAACGGCAGCATTTTAAAAACTACGCTGGTGTTCAATGGCCTCTTATCACAAACGCCGGTTAAGTTGGGCCACGTTTCTAAAAAATGTTGCTAATTTTTATTTTTAAGTTGTCTTTACGGAGGATGTGTTCTCTCACAAAGTGTCTCAGTGCTGTCATCACTGACCATGTAAAACTTTATATTTGACTAAATCTGTTTTATTTGATGTATGTCCAGTAAGATGTTTAAAATGTGAACACATCTGAGCATGAATCTGTTCAATTCCTTACAAACTGCCCCTCTAAAGCCTGGAACTTGCTTGTATATGAAAATAAATGTTTTCTAGTTTGGCAGCAGGGATGAGTTCAGCTCTTAGAAACTTGGTGAGAGAAGCTCAGTTTTCTCCAAACATCGTTTTGCACATTTTGTTTTCTTTTTGTTGTTGTTTGTGTTACTGTTGTTAGAGGGTCTGAAGGTTTTTCCAATTCTTCCTTTCATTTTTGATCCAGTTGTGAACGAAGTTCAGGAAAAAGCACAATATGTTTTGTTTTGTAGTCATTTTTTAAAMTGTCTTAGTCAAGTTTTAAAAGTTATTGTCAGTTTTCAAACAAAATCTGAGTTCCTTAGAGCCATTTTTGCCCTTTTATCATGTACATTTCATTAACTTTCTTTCTTTCTTTCTTTCTGTCTGAGCAGGTGGACATTTTAGTTTTCTTGAATTTCTCTGATCTAATAAACTAACTTTTGACAGAAAAAAAAAGTCCTGGCAGAAAATGTGATCAGTGACAGTTTAAAGAGGCACAGCTTCCTGACTTTAATATAAAAACACTTTTATCATCTAACATTTATTTATTAAGCCTTTTGGCATATCGTGTGAGTTACTTTGAACAACTTCCTCCTGAATTAGTTTATAATAAAAAGGAGATTAATAAATAACATTCCAACACCCTAAATATTGGAAGAAAGTCCTGCATTGAAAGAATTTCTCACATTTTAATAAATGTGGCCACACTGCACACAAAAACAAACACTTTATCTCTTGAATTATGTTTGCGTCAAGTAATYAGTTTGAATTTTAGTGCAATATTGAAGTTGTGTTACTTCAACTATGTATTTTTTCTCTAGAATTTACTGACTTGTTCTGCTTTGTTTTATAAACTCAGCTCTGAGTTGTGGTTTTGTCGTTCATGCAGATTATTAATCTGTCAGTAGTGAGGCAGTGGGGCCGTCTGCTCCCYGAGGCTTTTTGTAATTAAGGTAGAAGGGACACTGATCCCTGAAATCATAATGTCATCATGTCAAAGATAATGAAGCTGTAATCCTTTTGTCCCGTCTGGCTTCTGTTAATATTATGGATTAGAATTTAAACGTGGAGAACTGCCTTTCTGTCATGTAAACAAAAGAAAAAAAGAAAAAAAAACACTCTGTCAAATGGTCATACAGCAGCTGTTTGTGTTTAAATCTGCTTCATCACATTTATTTCAACTTGTAGACCTCATTCTGAATGTAAGACATTGTTTTTTTCTTTACCAACCTGAGACAACTGTATGTTTGGATGTTATTTATTTTGAATGTGAAGCCCTGGTTGGCACTTATCTGTGGTTTCTGTAAAAGCAATCCTGTTTGTAATGTAGATGTTTTTTTTTATTTATTTCAGTATGAGAAAGTGGTAACTCTGTTCCCCTGACTTAAATACGAATTACTTAGACATGCAAAGAAATTTAAATATTTGTAGTATTCCTACTTGTGGCATGTTATCTGCAGCTACATCTTTTATTGTTATATTTTTCTGTTTAGGTGGAAATAAAGGACTATTTACAGTTTCATGTTGTCACCAACACGCTGGGTTTTTTCAGGAAGACATGTTAACATAACTGTTTATTTACTTGAATTTTAAAAAGGATGGTAAATGATGGATTTGTCATGTAGCAGGATCTAAGAATATTTAAAGGCCTGTTTGTGTGACCTGTGCATTAGTAAAGTAAGGTTCTCTTTACATTTTCTTTTTTTTTTTCAGGCTTTTGTATTTTATTTATGTAAGCTCTCATATGAATATACAGCATTTGGATAAAATGTTATAAAAGCATGAAAACTGAAGAAAATCAGGGCCATATTTGGTTAGCCATTAGTTTTTTTTTCCTTACTCTGAMGCATTGGCTGATAAGGTACAACTATTGATAACAGTGAGACAGAACGTCACAGTTCCCTGCTCTTCAAGTTCAGCAGGAGACAGTTAATCACTCATTCATTCAAATCAGATGTGCCAAAGCAGAGAAACATGTAAAACTTGCAGGAWAGTGGCCCTCGAGGACCAGAACTGGACATAAAAAACAAAATAAAAGTTAGCTGTCATGTAATTTCTTAGAAAAAACTAAGGCATTTTGTACACAGCTTTTAACTCTGTGTTGCAATATTTTATGTAACTGAGGCAAAAAGTTTCATTTGTGAAGACAAATGTAATTAATCAAAATAGTTTTGAGGTTAAATGTATTTTTTTAATATTCAGGCAACTAAATGAAATGTTTGGTGCTGTGGCTTAATGAGCCAGGCTCAGTCTGCAGTTTTTCCGCTCACTGCGGTGAACACTTAAACCTGTGACATAATCAGCTCGTTTGCTTGAATCAATAACAGTCACTCAGACGTGCCCGGCCTTCCAGAAAATATCARTCTGTGGCTCAGTTGGCTAATTCTGCTTAATAAGGAGCACTCGGTTTCAAATATTACCACCAGCACAGCACACTCTGTTGAGTCTCCTAATGCAAAATTATGCAGTCATCAAATTAAATGATCAGCTTTAAGACCAGGTAGTTCTGCAGGTTAATGATCCTTCCTCTTGAAGACTTCAAATGAAACAATTCACTGAAATGTGTTTTACAATAAAAAGTTCACACACCTTTATCATAATGAACTTCTCTTAAGATCCCAGAGAAAATTAAAAAGAAATCTTGCTACATAAGAGTATGTTTAAAATTTAAATTCTTTCAAACGCTGCAATGTGTAATAAAATAAGATCTTTACGTTAAAATAAAAGCCTATTTGTTTTAACTTACAAGAAATTCAAGAAAAATGTGATTTAATTATAATATAATGCATGTTTAACAGTGAGAAAGCTGAGTCAAAAATAAAGAATAAACAAATGCTTACAAAAACATGTTCTAGTTATTTCAAAGATACATGATGTTTGAGTCAATCAATTGTTTATTCAGTTTTTCATATTAAAAAATACATTAACCTTATCGACTCTGCCAAAACTTTTCCACCTCAGTAGCAGCTACTGTAAATATCCAGATTGGTGCATGCTTCAACTGCAAATATAATACTCTGGAAGAAAAACAAAACAAACATTTTGAAACCTTAAGCTTCTGCTTTGTGATGACTGGGAATTTTCACAGTACGCTGCTACTTGTGTGGTGACGACATGACATCGCTATGCATTTTTCAGAAAAATTATTTTAAATTATCACAACGAAGCATCTCCACGTCAGACTTCTTTGTTCAATAGATGAAACTTTATTTGGATCGAGTCTGCCAAGCATCTTGACAAGAATAAAAAAGGCAAGTGTGAACAAGACGGAACGCCACGTGTCAAACGAAATGCATCAGGCAGGTTCATGAAAAGTTGCATCAGTGGCTGTGATACTGAAGGAAACAAAGCATGGCTCCGTACAGACACAAGTCGCTTAAAGGGCCACTAAAAAAAACAGAATCATCAAGTTTTCCTGTTTCAAAATAGAAATATAATTCTTTCTCTCACTGTAGGTCCAGTTTTCTGAAGGTGCTGCAGCTCTGAGATCACTTAGGTTGTAGGGATGCACAGAGTGGTATAGAGACATTACAAAACAGCTGTTTTAATGATTAAACTGGTGGATAACCATTTGAATGTCATGATAAAAGCTCCTTGTGAATTTTTAGCAGATGACTACATTTAAATAAAAATACATGTTCTGGATGATATAAATGGGAGCATGGCAGGTCAGTGTTAGCTGATAACCAATTGTTTAGATGGATTGGAACTGTCCTGGAACACCTCCCTGTTAACTAATCAATAGAAATGACATCAGAAACATTTAATGATCTTGGCAATGAGGAACGAGCACAGTGGTGTTAGCGTCAGAGTTTGGTCATGGGTATGTGAAGGCTGTTCCATGGGCCCATCCACAACTCTTCCTCATCCGACTGCGTTCTGTCACTCAGACACTCCAGCGGCTCCCGGGCGATGACTCCCATGTCACTGTTGCAGTCGATCTTAGATTCCGCCTCGCCTTCTTTCGGCTCATCTTTCCCCGCTGTGCTCTCAGGCTGCTCTGTGCTGCCGCATGCTTCTGTGTGCATGTCGCATTTAGACACTACGCTTTCAGGGCCCGTGTTACTGGTGCTGGTTGACCCCAAAGACACGCTGGATTGTCGTGTGTTTAACACATTCAGCATTTTATTGTTGTCCCTGTTCGTAAAAGAGGAAGTGGCCGACGTGGGGGTGGCCTTCCCGAAGCTTTGGAAGGTGTGCAGCGTGTTGCACCGACCGTCTGCTGCTGTGTTGGGGCTGTTCAGCGGTGCTCTCTCCTCCAACGTGGCGGCCATTTTATCAAGTTTTTTAAAGTGCTTGGACAGCCGCGAGCTGAAGATGGGAGAGCTGAGTTTGAGATTGTTCGTGGCGCTGGTGGTGTGCGTAGGACCAGAAGCATTGACCGATCGTCGGGTGCGAATGATGGAGCCATTCTGGGACACGTAGATGCTCCCATTAACGTTAGTGTGGTTGTTGTGCACGGAGGTTACGCGGCTGCGTTGGGTTTCAGACATGCTGTCCTCACCAGTGGAACTGGTCTCATACTCACGGTCCACCACCAGTTTGATCCGACGCTTTCTGTTGCACTGCTGGGAGAAACAGAAAAATGGCATTAATCTGCTGGTCTATAAATGTTCCATTTTTTTTCCCTTAAGGTAATATCTCACTGGGCTGCGACTGTTGGACACTTAGTGATTTAAAATTGTGAGAAAAAGTTAAATTTTCAGTTGCTGTCTCTGTGACCAAGTGAGCTGTGTTTATTGCCTGGTCAGCTGCAGATTTTATTGAGGATGCAATGATATTCCAGGCCTTGCACATTATTTTACTGTCTGCCATCCAAATTGTACCTTCCTTGGCTTGATTTGTACCCACTCTGGAAGATGCTCCCTACTTATGATTAATCTATTGGAGTACATGTTAAAGCAAGCTTATCATCACAGGTTTATTCTAGCTTGATTGCGGGGTTTATGGCTAAATAGCCACACAGAAACTTTTTTATTTACAAATGAATTAAAAGATGTGAACAAGGGAAGACTTGTCCATCCAGCCTTACATGTTGGAGCCAGAGTCTGACCCAGAGCCAGAGGAGAATGAAGACGACCAAGTTATAGTTGCTATGTCTGTATTTGGCTGTTCCGTCATAAATACTGCAATGTAATAGCTCAGAAAATGCAATAGAAAATAAAGAAATTCAAATTTTCTCAGATCCTTAAGAAGTACACAAGAAACTGCATTTAACGGCTAAAAAAGTAGATTTTGTGTATCCATCTATCCATTTTCTTCCACTTATCTGGGATCGGGTCACGGGGGCAGCAGCCTAAGCAGAGAAACCCAGACTTCCCTCTCCCCAGGCACTTGGGCCAGCTCCTCTAGGGGAATCCCAGGCCAGCTGAAAATACATAGTCCCTCCAACATATCCTGGGCCTCCCTCTGGGTTCCTCCCAMTGGGGCATGCCCAGAACACCTCACCGAGGCATCAAGGAGACATCTTAACCAGATGCCTGAGCCACCTCAACTGGCTTCTCTCAATGTTGAGGAACAGTGACTCTACTCTGAGTCCCTCCCGGATAACCAAGCTTCTCACCCTATCTCTAAGGGAGAGCTCAGACACCCTGCGGAAGAAAATCATTTTGCCTGCTTGTATCCGTGATCTCGTTCTTTCAATCACTACCCAAAGCTCGTGGCCATAGATGAGGGTAGGAACATAGACCGGACGGTAAATCCAGAGCTTCACGTTCTGGCTCAGCTCTTGCTTCCCTGCATCACTGCAGATGCAGCACCAATCCGCCTATCGATCTCCTGATCCATTCTTCTCTCATTCGGGAATGAGACCCCAAGATACTTAAACTCCTCCACTTGGGACAGGACCTCTTCCCTGAACCAGAGGAGACACTACCCTTTTCCATCTCAATACCATAGTCTCAAATTGGGAGGCACTGATCCTCATCCCAGCTGCTTCACACTTGGCTGCGAATCACTCCAGTGAGAGCTGGAGATCACGATCTGATGAAGCCAATAGGACCACATCATCTGCAAAAAAAATCCTAAGGTCACCAAAATGGATCCCCTCAGCACCTTGGCTGCACCTAGAAATTCTGTCCATAAAAGTTAGGAACAGAATTGGTGACAAAGTACAACCTTGGCAAAGTCCAACTCTTACCAGAAACAAGTCTGACTTACTACCGGCAATGCGGACCAAGCTCTGACACCGGTCATAAGGAACCTAACAGCCCATATCAAAGGGCCTGGTACCCCATTCTCCCGGAGGACTCCCCGAGGGACATGGTTGAACACCTCCAAATCCACAAAACACATGTAGACTGGATGAGTGAACTCCCATGCATGCTCCAGGACCCTGCTAAGGGTATAGAGCTGGTTTGTTATTCCACAACCAAGACAAAAACCACACTGTTCTTCCTGAATTTGAGGTTCGACTATCTGATGGACCCTCCTTTCCAGGATCCCTGAATGGACCTTACCAAGAAGGCTCAGAAGTGGGATCCCCTGTAGTTGGAACACACTTTGTGGCCCTCCTTTTTAAATAGGGGGACCACCACACCGGTCTGCCAATCCAGGGAAACTGCCCCGGATGTCCACGCGATATTGTAGAGTCGTGTCAACCAACGCAACCCCACAAATGGTAAATGACTTGAACTTATATAGTGCCTTATGAAGTCCACTTGGACCCCAAGGCACTTTACACTTCAGACATTCACCCATGCATTCACACACTGATGTTGGTAAGCTCCAGCCACAGTTGCCCTGGGCCACACTTACATAGGCGGGGCTGCCATGCACCAGCACCACTTGCCCCTCTGACCACCATCAATATCAACAACATCCAGAGCCTTGAGGAACTCTGGGCAAATCTCATCCACCCCCAGTGCCACCGAGCAGCTTTTTAACCACCTCGGTGACCTCTGCACCAGATATTGAAGAGCTCAGCCCAGGGTACCTAGGCTCTGTTTCCACACTGGAAGACATGCTGGTGGTGAGTAGGTTGTCAAAGTATTCTGCCCACCGACCCACAATGTACCGAGTTGAGGTCAGCAGCACACCATTCCCACCATAAACAGTGTTGGTGGTGAACTGCTTCCCCCCAAAATGCAACATGGTGGACCAGAATCATCTCAAAGTCATATGGAAGTTTTTTCCATGGCCTCTCGGAACTCCTCATATGCCTGGGTTTTTGCCTCAGTGACCACCTGAGCCAAAATTCACTTGGACTGCCAGTACCCATTCGAAGTCCCACAGGCCAAAAAGGCCTGATAGGACTCCTACTTCAGCCTGACAGCATCCATCACCACCGGTGTCCACCAGCGGGTTCAGGGGTTGCCACCACAACAGGCACCGACAACCTTGCAGCCACAGCTCCGGTGAGCTGCATTGACAATGGAGGCATGGAACATGGCCTACTCAGACTCAATGTCCCCAGTCTCCCCCGGAACATGTTCGAAGTTCTCCTGGAGCTGTGAGTTGAAGCTCAGTCTGACGAGATACTCTGCCAGACGTTCCCAGCAGACCCTCACTATATGTTTGGGTCTGCCAAGCCTGACTGGCATCCTCCCCTATCACAGAGCCAACTCACCACAAGGTAGTAGTCAGTTGGCAGCTCCACCCCTCTCTTCACCCAAGTGTCCAAAACATGTGGCAGCAGATCAGATAAAACAACAACAAAGTCAATCATTGAAACTGCGGACCGAATGTGTCCTGGTGCTCTCCAGGACACTGACGCCTCACAGCAAGAAGGTTCTGGGTTAGATTCCCGGTTTGGACCTGGGGTTTTTCTGTACAGAGTTTTCTCCTTGTGCTTGCGTGGGTTTTCTCTGGGTACTCAGGTTTCCCTCACCCCTAAAAACATGTACAATAGGTTGCCATCAGGCCCAGGCCTCCCTTGGTAATGACATATGAGATCTCAATGGGACTTGCCTGGTTAAATAATGGCAAATAAAAAAAATATATGTTTGATAACAATAACAAAACACAGCTCGGGTTCAGATCGGGGGGCCGTTTCTCCCAACCACAACACTCCAGGTCTCACTGTTATTACCCACGTGAGCAAGTCCCCCAACAGAACAAGGGAGTCCCCATTAGGAGCACTCTCCAGCACCCCCTCCGAGGACTCCAAAAAGGGTGGGTAATCTGAACTGCTTTTAGGCGCATAGGCACAAACAACAGTCAGGACCCATCCCCCCCACACGTAGGCAGAGGGGGGCTAGCCTCTTGTTCACCAGGGTGAACCCCAACGTACAGGCACCAAGATAGGGGGCAATAAGTATGCCCACTTCCACTCAGTGCCTCTCAGCATGGGCAACTCCAGAGTGAAAGAGTGTCCAACCCCTCTCGAGGAGACTGGTTCCAGAGCCAGAGCGGTCTGTCGAGGTCAGTCTGACTGTATCTAGTCAGAACCTCTCAACCTCACACACCAGCTCAGGCTCCTTCCCCACCAGAGAGGTGACGTTCCATGTCCCTAGAGCCAGCTTCTGTATCTGAGGATCAGGATTTTGTATATTTCCATTTTTTTAAAGAAAAGATTTACAGAATTACTGGTAGTTTTTAATTTATTATATTTATCATCTGTGTTCCACTACATACACATGACACGACACCTAGTACCACCACATCCAAACCAATAAGTCAGGTGATGGGGCACACCCTCTATGAACAATAGAGCTAATCAAGCCTATTGTTAAGCGATGGCCCTCTTTTGCAAATGACTGACCCCTTTGTCCACCATGTGGAGGCAGTGGTTTTAAGGCTGAGTTCACCTGAAACTTATCAGACTGAGGAAGTCTCTTGGATGAGAGATGAAACGTTTCACTAAAGAAGAACCCATCCAGAGGACCTACTTATTTTTTCTTTTTGATATCATCTGTGTTGTTTTTAAACCTGGACATGATTTTTTTTTCATCAGAGGACGAATCCCATGCAGCATGAGAATGCTTGAGACAGATTGGAGGTGCCCAAGACCAAATTTTGATGGATATTAGAAACTTGACACAATTTGTTGTGTTCAATATTAGTCCTCAACAATCACAGCCTGTGAGAAAATGGCTTTAATGAAGTTTAACTTATTCACACAAGATTTAGTGTTAAAGTGTTCTAAAGCTGCATAGCTGAGCAAACACTGGTGCTTCACAGATCTAATGGTAACATATTATATGCCGTCTGATTTTTTACAGAACATAATTGAAAGTAAAAACAATACATGAAATCATCTTGCCATCATTTAGTGAAAACTTTTGTTTCAGTCCTTTTCCCTCTCCACAGAAACTAAAGCTTTTTTATAAGAAAATGTGAAAAAAATGAAAGTATAATTTTCTTTCATATTTATCCTGTAAAAAACAGACTTTGCAGAAAGAATAGAATTTTAACTCTTTGCAAACACAAAGTAAGGTCGGCGCAGCAGCCTGAACATTGTGATCTTTAACAGTAAATTAGAGCAGCCTTTGAACCATCTGATGCTGGAAATTTGGACAAAAAAACAGCACGGAGGGAAGGTCTTTGAAGATACGCTGCATATTAAARGTTAACATTTTGCTACTGAAGGTTAGAGTCAAGACTGCTAATCACACACACACAGCACACACACTTTGCCGTAAAAAAGGCTGTTGTGACAATTTATATCAATGTGCTATCACATATTGTAACCCTTGCAGTTTTTTTCCTCTTAACCTTGGTAAGTATGCTAGAAAGAATATMTTTTCTTTCTCTCTACAGCCAAAGCGTGGTTCTCCCTGCTGATAACAGACGTAGGGAGAGCTGACTGATCCTGGGAGAATGACGCACGCAGAGGGAGAGATGACGAGGAAGGGAAAAAAAAACCCTCAAACAAACCTTCTGTGCTACAAAAAGAGATCAGTGAATAACAATGTTTGAGCTGCAACTGCAGAGACTTAATCACATTGTGGAGCTTTTTGCCACAGTGCAACACAGGAGGTTTGGAGATGTAAACCTGACAACAACTTCAAGGAGGCAAATGAAAAAGAGGGAGAAGCTATGATTGGAAAAAGCAGATTAAAAACTTGAGGAGGACAAAAAGAGATGAAGAAAAGCAGACACTGGATAACTCGGGGAGCAGCGGAGGACGTGCAAGCAATTAAAACCCCTGTGAACGTAAATCACAGCAAACGGAGCGAGAGACAATAATAGATTCCACTCAGGTAATGACTGCACACCCAAACCAGGAGCTTACTGAGTGGCAAAGATTTGAATTTCAGGAAGGGGGCTCAGGCAGTTGACTCGTTTCCCCAAACCCCCTCCTCCTCCTCCTCCTCTTCACGTCCCTCCTCACTGTGGATGCTGCTTTTCTCCTGCTCCTCAATAATGGGCCACAAATGGTCTGAGGCGTCCATCACACCTGAACCGATGTCTGGGTGGGCTCGCCTACTGACTGAAGACTTCCTCAATTTGACACTTTTCCTCTCTTCCTCTCTGTCACTGTTTCCTTCACTCTCTTGCTCTGGTGTTTCATGACTTGACTGTGAGCGTCTTGAAGTTTTGGACCTTGAACTGTAAACTTTAGAACTTGAATATCTAGAGCTTTTAGAGTTGCTGCCGCCATGTCTGTGTTTATCTGAGTCTTTGGTGGAGCGGCTGCTATCTATCCAGTTTCTACTTCCAGATTCATGACTTCTACCTCTAGAATGCTTTCTGCTGGACTCCGTCTTCTCATCTGCGCTCTCTGACCCTGACTCTTCCTCTGTATCAGATTCCTCTTCCTGGCGCCAGTCTTCCCTTTCTGATTCTGAGTCTAACTCACTCATTTCCGTTTTTGTTGTGACCGTTGAGGCATGGCTGCTTCTGTCAGAGAGGCTGGATTCTGACAGAGACTCGTTGCTGCTGCTGCTTGTTTCTGAATCACTTTGCTCTGTCTCACTGTCCCTCTTCTCCCATCTCCTCCCCTCGTGTCTCCTGGAAGACACTGATGCAGAAACGCTCATTTCTCCTACCGAGTCATACATCCTCCTACCGTCGCTCCACTGTTCATCACCCACCCTGGCGGGTTCCTGAAGCCTTCTGGCCAACGAGATAAGACCGAGGGACTCGCCGGGTTTTTGTCTCGCAGGTGGGCGTTGACTTGCTTCAGTGAAATAAATCCCATCGATGAGCAGGTTACCGTCTGAGCTGAACGAGCGGGCCAAGGAGGAGAAGCCAGGGAGCTGTGCGCCGTGCTCTGGCCTGCTGCCTCCTCCTCCTACAGCTGCATTTCTCATCCTATTGTTAGTTATGCTGCCTCTGTTGTCTCTTAGCTGAATTTCCAATTCTCTGCTCCCGTCCCTATCCCCACTTCTTTCTGTTGCTTCAACTTGTCCTCCCTTTTTATTTTCCACTTTCACTGCCTGTCCTTTTCCCAAACCCACATCACCTTCTCGTCCTGGCAGCCTGCCCCCAGCGTCCTCCATCGGCACCACTCTGGCTTTGCTCCACGGTGGGTGGATGGCAGGAGGCTGTGTGGATGTTTTATTCGCAGGGGAAAGCAGTGAGGTCATTTTCATGAAAGCTTTTAGCTTGACGGCTGCACTGGAGCCTTTGTCTTTACTCGTGGCAACATCTTGCTTTTGGTCACCGCCGGCTCTTGGGGGTCCCGWGGTCCTCGTCGGTGCTGGACCGGGCGGTGGGTGGGGCTGCTGGTGATCTAATCTGTTTCCTTGAAARTGTCTTCTCACCTGTTGTCATGATGATACATTTTGATACTTGGATCATTCCGATATCATAAGCAGAGARATGACTTAATTTGTCTTGTTGGTTATGATAACACATTACTGTTTGGTCTGAATCCTAATTTTATGTAAACTTATTGAGTAATTTTTGATGTCAATATAAAGAGGAAACCTCAAATAGTATTTGTATATTAAGATTTCCGAGTTGGAAAGAAACAAAATCGTTGCTAGCTCACAGGGAAAAAAAAAATCTGAATTTTAAGGCATTTTTCCTCAAAATCAAGTTTTTTGTTGCTATTGCTCAGAAAAATGCTTCAAATTTTTTTTTAGGATTATATTTGAGACAGTTCATTCAAATGATACATTCATAAGGCATAATATTTTGACAAAATGCAAGTTTTTGCACACGTTTAAATCAAAACCCTATATCTGCCCAGTTCTCCCCATTCCACTTTTGGACTTAATCCTCATTTCGATGRGATGGGTCACATATTTGAGGAAAATGTGTGAGGTGGGGAAAAAAAAAAACATTCTGGTGGACATCAGTGATGATCCAGCCTCTGTGATGTTGTGGGTTTATAGGCTGGATCTGTGCTSAAAGCTCAGTAAATTTCTGCCATGGCAACATGATAATAAAAAAGCACAATAAGATTTTAGAACTTTTGCAGTTTTTAAGGATTTCTTGGTTTTGTTTATATAATTCAATTTCTTTTCCTGTTCAGAGCTGAAATGGTCTGAGTTTAATGAAGCTTAATATAAAAAAAATGTTAAAAGTGTTGATTTAGTCTCTTATTTATTATGTTTTATGTTTAAAAGGTAACCAATTMTCAGATCCCTGTAAAGGTCCCATTAAACGGGCAAAAAGGCACGACTACACACTGACCATTTCTGGTTTAGTTATACATAATGCCTTCCTGTAATGTTTGTTTTGGTTACCTCTCCGTCAGACTCCTGTGGGCTGTAGTAGTAGCTGCCGTCGTCGTCGACCACAACCTCMCCATATTCATCGTAGAGGCCGGAGGGGGAGATCAGCTTCCTGCGACTGCCGTACTGAGGCAGCTCATACCTGCACACACAAGAGGAGGGGGCATGAAATGATACATGACATCACTGCACAGCAAAAACAAGACAGCGCAGAATAGTTTTATGTTCATGAACTTTAAAGAAAAACTATTAGCACTTTGTTAGGAGTGAATGGAAGATGTGTTCTTTGTGCAAATCAGGAGCAAAAGCCGCTTACTAACCAGACGTTGCACTTCCTTATCCACGGTCTTTTATCCGAGCAATAAACAGCGCAACACTGTGGCTCAGTCCAATGATAAGCAGTCTCTAACGACTTGCCTAAACAAAGCTGCCTTAATCACAAAAGGAGCACTTTGTTGCCGGGAGACATTTTGTTTGCAGAAAACGAAGAAATCGATTTTTTTCCTCCCTTTTGTCTCTGTTGTCTGGTGCTGGAGCTCCACTCGACTTCACCGGCCAAGAAAACTGTTCTGTATCACAACTTGGGCTCTGTGCCCTGCAGACGGCAGCTCAGACAGCCAGTGGATCACACACACACACACACACACACACACACACACACAC